GAGTGAATTTCACCTCCTGGGTCAGTGCGGATGTGATTCTAGAGAGATTCCATCTCTCATTACAGATTTTCATCCTCAACATCCAGACTGACTGAAGACAGGCCTCGTCAGAGAAGTGATTGAGCTTCGGAGGGAAGGCCGATGTCTCCGCAACAGCAGAGGTTGCGGTCTAACATGACCGCAAACAAAAGTTTCACAATAGCGCTGCATTATACAAACACTCATTCATTGCAAAGTCTTGCAAAATATTGTGGCTGTCATTGATTAACTCTTTTGGATTGTCCTATTGCCTGATTGTTATATGACTACTGCCTGGTTAATGACATTGAATTGGTTTCACAGCAGATGCTCGGAATTTGTATTAAAGCACATTTGTGCATGGATCCCCTCTCTCTCTCTCTCTGAGTGTATTCTGTTACATGTATTTTGTGTAGCATCGTGTATATTTCCGCTTTATCATTATCATAGTATACTATACTGGCATAGTAATATATGATCATATTCATATACTTTAATATACTTATACTGTAAATGTGTGTGTGTTTGTGTGTTGTGTGGATGCGTGTTACCTCTGAAAGGTAGGCCTCATAGTTGATGTCCCCAAGGCCTGCATTGGCAAAATTGATAAGATTGTCTTTTCCTTCTTCCTCCAGCAGGATTATTCCTTCCAAGTCTACCATCACTCCCTCAAATATCTCTGCCAGATCATGGTTATTCTGTAAAGCATAGATACAGTGCATTCAGTTTCGTACATCTTGTTAAATTCTGCACCAGATACTGAAAAATGAATGGAGAACCTCTTTAAGATTCTGAATTGCTTTTATTTTAAATGGACAAAGATGAATCTCACCACGGTTCTGTTGACGAACTGGATGAAGTGGAATTGGTTCTCCAGTTGTAGTGCAGAATATATGCCATTATTCTCATAACAATCACTGAGAAATAAAAACACAAATAATGTCTTATTGTTGTGGTACAGTAGCCATTGCTTTGTGTTATTTATTTTCTTCAGAATTGTACAGATACACAATATGAATAAGAATATTGATGCATCTTTTTTTCATTTTTACAATCTAATTTTTCCTTTTCAAACCTAATATAATTTTCTTCCATCAGTAAAAATCACTAATGTCTGAACGATTATGACTGATCTGAAGGTATAATTTGATAGTCGAAGGTTTAAGAACCCACGTTCTACTGCACTATCTATGTTAGAAGTGTAGTTCTAATGACGCTTGGTGCTCAGGTCAGGTGCTCATTTTGCGAGATGCTCTCAAGAAGAGCTTCTTTCTTGCAATGCTTTCAAACAGCTTGTTGTGAAGAAAGTGGTTTGTGACAGCTTATTTTGAAATTTAACAATGACAAGAATCAGCTAATTCTACAACTATGATCTTTGGGCTCTTTCTGTTCCTCCTTCATCCTCTTCCTCACTGTGCTGGGGAACAGCATGCTCATGCAGGAAGATTATTCTTTACACAGCTGTGAGTAGTGACAGGAAGGTTATGAGTTCATATCCCAGAAAGCCACTGTTAGGCTCTAAACTACTCAGCTTTATGGCAAATGAATGAATAAATGTATACGTAAAAACATTTGCAAGATGCCATGTACACCATTAGCTCAGTCACAGAAGCAAAAAGATTTGAGCTTTATCCAAGATGGGTTACAAAAGTAGTTCTAACCTTAGACAGACACAAAATGTATAGACAGACTCACACACACACACCTGTACAGGCTGCCGATGGTAAGATCAATGTTGGGGTTTTGGAACAGCATTCCGGGGAGGAAGTTCTTTTTGCCAGGATGGACCACGTATGGTGCGTCTACGATCTACACAGAAAAAAACATTAATTAATTACTATTTATTATTATGTCCTGTTATAATATAAATACTAAAATATGACATTTTGAAACTGAAATTTGTCAAACAGTTCTGCTTTGAGAAAGTCAGTTGGGGCTTGACAATTTTGTTGTTCAATGGGACCCAGATATGTAAGGGATAATCCACAGCTAGGTGTGTATTACACGATTTTAAAGGATAAAGAAAGGATAAAAATAATCGTTAATTTTTGTTAGGTTTTTTTTTTTAAAATATGGATTCTTAGATCTAGAATTATGCCCACTCGAGATTATACACAGACATAAAGTAGTGCAATAAGATTACATTTATTTGAATGAATTATAACAAATTGTTATTAGAGGGAGAGAGAGAGAGAGAGAGAGAGAGAGAGAGATTGTGTGTGTGTGAATTACCTGCATCTGTGCCACGTCTCTACTAATAATGAAGCTGTGAGTTTAACTACTGTATGTTACTATGGTTACAAATGTTTATAGGCAGTGCATTAATTTAGAACGGTGATTAAACTGACTGGAACTACCTGTGCATTCAACAGTTTGAACGCACACCTTCCAGCCAATCAGAATCGAGTATTCAGACAGACCATGGTATAAATATCTGTACAGCATCTGCCCCAAATCAGTACATTTTCTTCCAAATCTTTACAAAGCTAACATGAATCTCTCTCTCTCTCTCTCTCTCTCTCTCTCTCACACACACACACACACACAGATGTGGAGTGGAGTAATATTGTTTTCAGAATATCACTGAGAATGTATACACATCTCATCTTTATATATATATATATATATATATATATATATATATATATATATATATATATATATATATATATATATATATATATATATATGTGTGTGTGTGTGTGTGTGTGTGTGTGTATATATATATTTATTTTACCATAAACAGCTGTCTGTTGGCCAGAGGCTCACAAACGAGCTTCTCCACATTTCCTCCAGTAACAAATGTGGTGACCACAACTCCCATCAGCACCCATGAAAAGATGAAGCTAAAGCCAACGCCTCTGAGTTTTCAAAGAGAAAAATACAAAGGTTACAAAGAACAAAGCTAATTCAGCTGTGCCGTGAATGCAGCCTGTGCTGAATTTTGTATAACTCATTAATTAGCTACCAACATCATAGACCTACTAATATTAGAAGTCTAACGTTAGCTAAATTGAAGTATGCCTAGCATTACCCTTGCTAGCTAGTTAATGACATGATTGAACAGAGAAAGGGTTTAGGGGTTTCTGAAACCTAGTTGTAGTAGCCAGTGTTGTTGAAATAATGTGATTTCACAGATAAAACACAGCTTTGGGTCTGAACATATAAAACCACAGGGTTTGTGTGGTTCTTCATACACACAGAAACCTGGAAATTGAATACATTCTTAACTGATTACTTCCCAACCAAGTTTTTTTTTCTCTAGTATTGACCCAAAAGCAAGCTAGTTAACATGGCTGCTAATGCCATAGCACCCTCAGCTGACATGATTTATCTGGAGACAGAGCTAGCAATTGGGACATGCTTAAATTGGAATTAAAGTGTATCACACGCTGACATGGAGACTGAATGATAAGTCTGCCAAAGTGCATTAAGAAAGGTAATGGACAGTGAATGTTGTAGCCACCAAACAGACATATATAAACCCATTTACAGATACAATATCCATTTAATGGAGGAGCAAGAGAAATCTTTTACTGTAATTTTATCCACACTAGTAGGAATTTTAAGGGTAAGGCTATTGAAGCTTATGTTATCAGATTACGAAAGAAAGCGTTGCTTTGCGGTTATCGGCAGTTGAAAGATGAGCTCATTTGAGACAGATTGTTTCTTGGAATCGCTGATGAGAGCACACAGAATTGCCTCTCACACTCGCATCAGCTATTGATATCTGCCGAGCTGCAGAACTCTGGATGAAAGTGTTGCACAAGGCAGACTTGAGGACAATGTCCATGCTGCAGATGCCTGATTCATGGGACTCTTGATCAGTTTGGATGAAAATAAATCAAGACATTGTAGACACTTCCAGATGAGAGGAGGATGATGCTGAAGGTCGCATTTGCTCTACCAGGGCTGGAGTGTACACAGCTCTGCCAGGAAGGAAGTGCTTTGTTAATTTACCTCTGCATAGCATCCAGCAACGGTTGGATTCAAGAGTGACATGTAACATTATATGTCTGAGAGACAATAGGACAAAAGGAAACTGATATCCTGCCAAACTAAGCAGAGGCAAAACAATACTCATTTACTCAGGAAAAGGCAATGAACTTTCTTAGGATATTCAGGATGCAATGCAAGTTAAAGGGGCAAAGATACAAACTGGAAATTGTGGTCAGGCTCAACATGGGAATGTCTGGGACTGATGCAATTCACTACCCGAGAGGAGTGAGCATGAGCACGGTGGCCATCTAGCCCCAGTTAGTGAGCCCATTATCAATTTGCATTGATCCTTAGTCCCCGAATAAAGTGCATAGGAGGCCCCATTACATCATGGACGATGTGCTTTATAAGCTCCCAAAAGACTGCATTTTCTCACTTGGATGTTCACATTGCATTCTTACAGTGCTTGATCGGGAAAGCAGTTTTCCTAGAACATATTCACCCTGTGGTAGGAATCATTGGCTCACACTGCCATTGCCATTTGGGGTCTCAGTGCCACCATGAGATGCTCAATGGACTGAGTGGTGTGGAGCTAATTGGTCATGATATACTGGTCATTAGCTTGGGAGATTCAGAGGAGGCCACCTGGGACCACAATGCTAAGCTCATTATCCTCATCAACCACTGCAGAGAGAGGAAGCTGAGACGCAAAGTTCATTTTGCTAGTTATGGTCAGACTGATTGGGTTATCATGGAGTCTGGCCCACAATTTGACTGTGCCACCTTCAGAAATATGCCCAAAACTGGGACCTTGAACATCCCCCAAACACCTGAAGCCCAATGGCAAAGCAGAGTGACCTATAAGAATTGTCAAGAGCTTCTGTTTTTTTTTTCTTTGGCTGCTCCTGTTAGGGGTCGCCAGGGCGAATCATTGATCCGCATTTTTGATTTGGCACAGTTTTTACACCCGACACCCTTCCTGACGCAACCCTCCCCAGTTTTATCCGGTGCACTGCCTTGTGCACCCCAGTGGCTGGGGTTGGTTCCCTGGCCGAGAATCGAGCCTGGGCTGCGGCACAGAGAGCACCGAAGCCTAACCACTAGACCTCCAGGGACCTTGTCTAGAGCCTCTGTAAGCAGTAATAATCCATGGAAAGGCATCTTGCTCTGGAGAAACGCTCCCACAGCAGGCAGACATCAGCCCAGCACAGAGCCTGATGACATGCAGATTAAAAACACCATTGCCTGTGTCAAATGCACCGTTACAGGTGTTTTTCGAGAATCTGAACCGTACAAGACAAGTAGCCACGGGAACTTTTAACAATTCCGACTAAGACCTTCCAAAACTGAGCATGGGGTAGAGCATTATGATGAAACCTTTACCAAGAGACAGAGCCGCTATCTGGATCATATGTGAAGGTTAAGGGTGCCACATACTGCTGCAATCAGGTGGACCTTAGGCCAGCCAAGCCCACCCTTCTTACGAATAAGGAGTTTCCTGAACTGCCCAAATCTACCTAGCCAGGACTTATAGTTCAGGGTCAGGGAGGATGACCTACAAATGCCTTTGTGCCATCCACCTCACACTGAGCAGCCTGATCAGACACAGCTTTCTGACAACAAGATGTCTTCTAGTTCTATTCAATACTTACAAATTGACTGGCATATTACACCAGAGAGACTGAAATTTTATTGCAGGAAAGGAGACAAAAAATACTTGCATTCTTTGGCACCTTAACAAATTTCATAATAACTTACATGGCCTTGCCTTAACGTTAATAATTTGAGATGTCGTTACTGTAGTAGTAGTATATGAGCTTTGCCTTAAGCAGACTGCTTGTTTGTCATAGTCTGCTGCTACTCAAGTTCTCGAAATGTTAAAAGGGAAATGTTTAGGGGACTGCTGACACCTAGTGGCAGGAGTTCACAAATAAAACACAGCTTCCACTCTGAGCATGCAGAACCACACATTTTGTGTTTCTTCACACACAAACAAATAGAATAGATGTTTACGTTTACATAATTGGACTGATGAATGGCTAGTTTTTTTCAAATATAATGCAATGTTAAATGATAAACATCGAACATCCATATCTAAGTGGTTAGAAATATACCTCGTTGCTTTCTTCACACTAGCTAGTTTCTTGCAAGCTATTCTGCTCATTTATTTAAAAAAAAAAAAAAGCTAGTTAGTTACATGTAAATATTTATTTCTAAACAAATCTAGCATTCTTTTGAAGTAATTAGGTTTGATTAAATGATTAATGGGAGAACATTCCTCCAGCTTCATTGCATAATGTTATTATTGTATTCAATTTTGAAAATATTATTCCATGTTTTTCTTCAGTTGCTGAACAATAATAGTCGTTCATATTGCCATTTTAACAATTTGGGGACAGTTTGCATATTTGGAACATTAACTATGTTTAAAATGGTAACTTACTAATCCCTACATTGGAGATAACACGAGCACTATGAACCACAGTAATATGGGAAATCATGATTCAGAGTAAACGAGTTTATACTATACTCTGTATTCTGATGAAGTCATATTCTGTCACATTTAACAACATCAGTGCTCACTAAGGTACACTGTGGGGTTTCCTAAGTGACTGGCTACTATTCATGACTACAGAATGGTGGACACCCAAAATAGGGCATCATGATATAATTTTTGAATTTTAGACAAATGGAAAAATTACTCTTAGCTGACCAAATTATGGACATAATATTGTACGTGGCAAAATTTGGCAGCATTATAATTATTAAATACTTAAATAATTCAAAATTTCATTATTAAACAACTATGATTGGCTGTTCATTTTAGATTCAGCTCATACCTGTTTAATCTAACTTACGCCATGAGGAGGTTGCCGCCTGTGTTTGAGAGGCAGCCACGTGTTGTAGGTGTGGTGTTCTTATCATGGCCACACATTCCACACATCAAACCCAGAAGGTTAAAAGCCAGGATCAGCACAACCATGCAGCACAGCACCACACACCCTATCCACCTAAGGAGAGAGAGAGAAACCCAAATTAGGATTGTTTTTAGGAATAGGGAATATTTTTTAATTTCATTTTTTCTTTTATTTGAATGGACTTTAAATGAAAGACTGCATTTCTGAGTGGGATTTTGTAAGAACATATCTAGTCCTATTTGACAAAGTTCTGCTCATGTTCCAGAAGGTGTCAATGAAATATCTTTTAGAAAATTAATACAGTATACAGTATTAACAATAAATATCATTGTGGAATCCCAGGCTCTGTAAACAGGAGAAAAAAACTAATTGTATGGACCATCAACATCAATCAATCAGGAAAATGAAAAAGTGAGCTAGATATTCAGAGTTCAATTCATATCCTCAGTTTTAAATAATGAGTTTGATTAATTGACTTGTGCTTGACTTCTGATGATGATATTGAGATTCCAGTTAAAAGCTCTAATACAGTACTACGGTTTGGTGTCCCGTTACCTGTAAAAGTCAAACTGGTCAATCTGTGGGTAGAACGCTTCTATGTCCTTCTCTTTTTCTGTCAGAAATCGAGTGAAGTTCTCCAGTGCTGGTTCCACTGGGAACGTATTGGTGAAAGCAACAATTTCTGCTCCTGACTTATCCAACAAAGCCTTCACTTCTTAAGCACAGAAAGAAATATAGAGAGAGATGTAGATATACATAGGTGTACACATGGAGGTAAGAACCAAGCTTGTCTCACACAGAATGAGGGAAAAGTGAAACAGTGATAAACTAAAGTACAAAAATTGTACTAAAAGTCAGGTCTGAGGACATATGGGTTAGCTGAGCCACTTAAATATAAAAAGTAGGGAATAAAACATGACAGGGTGGTGTGCTCTGTTGCCACCCTGAAGTTGATTGCCTTCCAATAACAGCACATCCCAAAGTCTATTATTCCTCTTATACCACAGCAGTTTAGAAACAGCTTGAAAGACACATTGTACATTTTATTCATTTATAGTTATGTGTAATGTGGTGGAATGTCTGTATTCCTGTGTTCCTGTTATCACTTACATTATTATTATAAACTACAGCTATAAACAGTTGTTCCCTCACCAGGCTTTCATACAAATCCCTTTTTAAGTTGTTACTATAGAAAAGGTGACGTATTAGAACGAGCGCATTAGTATAAACCTCGCAGGAGCTAGCACTACTGTCTGAACTGTGTTGTGTATATATATATATATATATATATATATATATATATATATATATATATATATATATTTATATATACAGTACTGTGCAAAAGTCTTAGGCACCCTATATTTTTTAGTACAAACTTTGTTATAGATTTTTATTTTATGACTTCTACATTATTGATTCAGTACAAAAACATTTTAGATTTCCAAACATTAGTTTTCCAGCACAAAATTAAATGTTACAGAAAAATGTTTGTATGTCAGTAAAGAAAGCAGCAGATGACATAAGAGACACTTTTCAGACAAAAAACAGAATGAAGGCTGCTGGGTTTCGCTGCAAAAATAAGAAGCGAGTGTGACAGTCAGAGTCTCCAGAAGAACTGTGGCTGCTTCTGCAAGATGCTCAGTAACACTTACAGCTCATTTCCTTATAAAACTGCACACACTGTACCTGAGACTACTATTTTTTTTTTTAAAGCGAAGGATCATCACACCAAATATTGACTTTGTTTCATTTATTACTGTTTACTGCTCTTTATAGTATTTTTTAAAATGTAGAAACATTTAATTTCATAATTTTTGAAGGCATCTTTGCTCTACAGCATTTCTTTTGCACAGTACTGTATTTATATATATATATATATATATATATATATATATATATATATATATATATATATAAAATCAATCAACACATTTGGACTAAACACAACTGAGCATTCAACAGCACTGTGTGCATATTAGAATATATCTATTAAACAGCATGCTGTTTTGTAAATAGCTTATGTCTGTGTGTGTCTGATGTCCTTGAGTTACATCATGCTGTTGCTCCTTCTTCTGCATATTCACATAGTAATAGCTGATGGAAATACCTTTGGCTTTGGAAATTCATTTAAAATCTGTCAGACATTTGAATAAATCATACGTAAAGGTACTAAGGGTGTAAAGCAGTAAAAAGGAAAGTGCATTAGTAAGAGAGAGAGAGAGAGAAAGAGAGACTTACTGGGCAGTGCTGAAGTTCAAAACAGAGGAGTACAGAAACAGAAGACAAGAACAGTATTGTGTTTAGTAGAAATGTATAGACAGCACAAAACAGAATGGACGTCCATCTTTCAGAAATTTAGCATGTCAGAAATTAACCATGATATACAGTAGATAAGGTTTTGATAAGGTTTTAAAAAAATGTAAATCAGTAACAAAAATGTGATTTTTTTTTAATCTCTTGCATTCCTATCATCTTTTATTTGAACTCCTACATACCTGCTCTCAGGTGGATCTATTTATATTACTAGTAACAGATATAAACATAATTATAAATATAAAAAAATGTAAAAATGAGACATCAGATATCAGGAGATACTGCCATCAGTGAGTGTAATAAATGTTTAGAGATAAGTGGAAGGATGAAGAAATTGTACTCACTGTTCACAAAGTGTTGTGTCTGTTCGCTCACTATCCTGGAAGTGTCATTAAAAGCAGAGTAGCCCTAAACAGAGAGAGAGAGAGAGAGAGAGAGAGAGAGAGAGGGAAATAATGAGAGTAGCATGGTTTTCCATGTATCATAATGGAAATGCTGTCTTGTGTTTATTGTCATGTCTCTTTTATTTAAAATTGTCACGCCAGTACACAATGAACTAGATGACAGATTGACATGTAAGCGAATAAATGACACACATGTAGTACCTTCTGTACGATGTAGCTGAGATCCGTCTCCATCACAGTTTCTAGATTTGCTAACTGAGGACTGACATCTGGTAGCTGCAACATAACACAAAAATTGCAGAGGTGGAATAAGTTGTGTGTCCAAAAATACAAGATGCATAGGAAATTTACTGTAAATTTTTGTTCAATATGCATGCCATTTTACTAATACAGTAAAATATCAAACCCATCCATTCATAACATTTTAATTTTTCTTTCTAGATCACATTCTTTTTGTATAGTTATGTGTACTTGCTG